GCCATTTTATCACCAGATTCCTGTGCGATGGCAAGACATTTTGCACTGTATGAAATAGCATCATCATATTCTTCTTTCATCAAGTGCGCATTTCCTAATATCATGTACGCTTTCATCTCAGCCACTTTATCACCACAATCCTGTGCGATGGCAAGACATTTTTTACTGTATGATATAGCATCATCATATTCTTCTTTCTTCAAGTTGACATCCGCTAACGTCATGTATGCATCCATCTCAGCCACTTTATCACCAGATTCTTGTGCGATGTCAAGATATTTTGTACTGTAAAATATGGCATCATCATATTCTTTTTTCATCAATTGGGCATTCCCTAACGTCATGTACGCATTCATCTCAGCCACTTTATCACCAGATTCCTGTGCGATGGCAAGACATTTTGTACCGTATGATATAGCATCGTCATATTCTTCTTTCATCAAGTGCGCATTTCCTAACATCATGTACGCATTCATCTCAGCCACTTTATCACCAGATTCCTGTGCGATGGCAAGACATTTTGTACTATATGATATAGCATCATCATATTCTTCTTTCTTCAAGTGCGCATTTCCTAACAACATGTACGCTTTTATCTCAGCCACTTTATCACCAGATTCCAGTGCGATTGCAAGACATTTTGCACTGCATGAAATAGCATCATCATATTCTTCTTTCATCAAGTGCGCATTTCCTAACATCATGTACGCTTTCATCTCAGACACTTTATCACCAGATTCCAGTGCGATTGCAAGACATTTTGTACTGTATGTTATAGCATCATCATATTCTTCTTTCTTCAAGTGCGCATTTCCTAACGTCATGTACGCATTCATCTCAGCCACTTGATCACCAGATTCCTGTGCGATGTCAAGACATTTTGCACTGTATGATATAGCATCATCATATTCTTCTTTCATGAAGTGCGCATTTCCTAACATCATGTACGCTTTCATCTCAGCCACTTTATCACCAGATTCCTGTGCGATGGCAAGACATTTTGTACTGTATGATATAGCATCATCATATTCTCCTTTCTTCAAGTGAGCATTCCCTAATGTCATGTACGCATACATCTCAGCCACTTTATCACCAGATTCCTGTGCGATGGCAAGACATTTTGTACTGTATGACATTGCATCATCATATTCTTCTTTCTTCAAGTGCGCATCCTCTAACGTATTGTATGCATTCTTATCTTCGCATTCCGCTTGTGTGCTTATCCTGAATTCACTTATGAAATTGTCATCTAGCGTAATGAAAGGAGAAGAAAAAGAATAATAAGGTTTGAATACACTGTGTTCCTGGGCGAAGCACTCTATAAGTGTATCAGTTAAATAACCCACTCTACTAATAATGCCAGTATATCTGCCTGGGCAGAGACCAGACTGTTGCCTGTTGTCGTTTATTTTTATCCGTCGTATCATATCGTTTATTTGTCAAATAAGAGATAAGGTAAAAAATTAATATCAGTCAAAAATATGAAAGGTATCGACTGATTAGGTTTGATTGACGGGAGCAAAAAAAAAATAATAATAATAATTTAGCATTGAGCTCGCAGACACAGAGTTTGCATGTTTATGAAAATTGGAGTAAAATGCAGATTAGCTACATTTACAAAGCTGTCGAGAATCTCCTTAGAAACGAATATCAAGATCGACGTTTACAGTGAAAAACAGAGCAATCTCAAATAAAGTAATTGATACTTTTTATTCTAAAACTGCTATCATCTTAAAAATGCACGACAAGTGTGACGCGGCTTCATAAAACAGCGTTGCCAACTCGTTTGGTTTTCAGACAGAGAAAAAAAAAACTGATAGAAAAATCGATATTTTAAGCCTTTAAAGCATCAGAAAACATATTCAATTCGAAGAACAATCACTTTATTGATTGTTGAGCTAACCAACTGAGAATGGTTGAAAGTACAAAGGCTTCACATCTCGAATAAATTTTTTCCGGTTGACGAACTGAGAAGCAAAAGTTAAAAAACAAGACGCCCGGCTCTTGGAGCGTGCACTGGGTTGCCAAATATGCTGGTATGCTGGAGCTTACTTAAAGTGCCTATCACCCTTCTGACAATACTCTCAGTGTTGATTCTACATGGGGTAAGATGTGGAATGACCCGAAAATATTTCATAGTTTGAGTGCGGCTTCTTGAAGATATATAGCTTTTTCCATGCCAATGCTAATGTTGTGATGTATGAGGAGGATTTATGGTCATTTGTTGTTCCTCGTAATTCGAAACACCGGCTTCTATGTGAAAACTAACTTGCAATAATTTCGACAAGAGCAATGGGAAAAACAATGACGTATTCCAATTTTTTTTTATGTGTGCCAGTAATGTTTTGTATATTAAATGATTACTCCTCATACGTCACAGCATTAGCATATGGCTTGGAAAAACCTTTATAGCTTCAAGAAGCCGCACTCAAACTATGAAATATTTTCGGGTTATTCCACATCTTACCCCATGTAGAATCAATACCGTGAATATTGTCAGAAGGGTGATAGGCACTTTAAGACCTAATCCTACTTTGGAACATAGGTGTATTTTTCTTTCGGAACTTCCAAACACTTATTTTTTCTCACATCAAATTTATTCAAAAGTTCACACCTTTTAAATGTGTTTTTTTGATAAAAATGTACCGCTTTTGTATATCTTTTAACCAGTGAAGTGGAATGACACTCGATTAGTAAAACTATACAGATGCGGTTTTATAACAGGAGAAAACAGCGTTGCGTTACTGACGTCACTAAGTTTTAATAGGCTCCATCTAAATCTACACTGACAACAACTAACGTGACCCCAAGGCTATAAGCTTTTTCATAGTTTAAGAATCGATTCCACTGCGCATGCGATTTTATCCCGAATCTCTCACCTTCTCTTGTTACTCGGGCTTTCAAAGAAATGCCCGAGGTATAAATTGGGCTTCGTTTTTTTTTTTTTTGCGTTCAGTCACAAATCGCAGTTGCGTTCAAAGCGCATGCGCAAGTTCTATGCGCATGCGTAGTATGCGCCACATAAGCACATGGACACGAGCAATGGCGGATTTTTTCAAGGTTTCGTCGCTGACTATAAAATCATGCTATACCAAATCAGTTGTCTCATGTAAACCTACGTAGACRTGATCGTGAASCCAGCAGAATACCAGTACRAACTCTGAAAAGTCTGAGAAACAAAAGCAGAAAGCTGAAAGAGTTTATCTTCAAACGTATTCGTCCAAGTATACCGAAGTCCTCCAAGCTTCATTATTGTTATGTGAAGGTTAGGAAACGTACAAAAGATGAATGTAAGCTGAATACTAAAAGAATAAGCTTGAATAAAGTCACACAACATRAAAAGAAGCTTTTGTTTAATTGCTCTAGCAGGGTTTATAAAGGAATAATGAAGTCGAAATATCATAGAGCTAGTCGGTATTTATCATTGTTTACTTGTAATAGTTTGATGTGTCTCTACAAGACTAAGATCCATATGCCAAATTATTGTAAATTTAAACTGAGTACAGACATAGAGAAGAACCCTGGTCCTGCTCAAATGTACATTGACCCTAGCAAAACAATAACAGTACCTTATAGCCAAGGTAATGAACTAGTATTTGGACAAAATTCTGGACAACAGTGTGTTGCAATGAGTTTGTGCTCTTTGATTTACAACAACAAGCAAGGAGTTAATTCTACCAATGACCTCATGTTAATTATGGATATTGGAAATC